TTATTTACATACCCACAGACCCACTAAAACACACACACACACACACACACACACACATACACACACACACACACAAGTCATGCTAACATCGCCAGGGCAGGCATGGGTAAGTGAGACTGACCTGTATTCATGATCAAGACTTTAACAATAACACAGACGTCTAGAAGTGTGTGTTACTGGTCTCTCTCATTGAAAAATGCTAACTGTGCACATGCATTTTCTTAACAGTGGGTAAACCTGTTTACTGTTTGAAATTCAAAGACTGTCTAATGCAATTTTTAAGGTGTATTGTTATTATAAACTGTTTCATGCTAACATCGCCAGGGCAGGCATGGGTAAGTGAGACAATAACACAGACGTCTAGAAGTGTGTGTTACTGGTCTCTCTCATTGAAAAATGCTAACTGTGCACATGCATTTTCTTCACAGTGGGTAAACCTGTTTACTGTTTGAAATTCAAAGACTGTCTAATGCAATTTTTAAGGTGTATTGTTATTATAAACTGTTTTCTTAGAAGTTCTGCTATGTTATGGTCAAATAGCTCATCTAAGCAAAAAAAAAAAAAGGTTTAGGTTTTATGCTCATTCTTCTAGAAAGCATTGTATGATATGTAAATATTTATTCGGTGTAGTCTGAGAATTGTCTTGTTATGTGGTTTTATGTTGTGTCTATTCTAGAAAGACAAGTCAATAATCGTCTAGACAATAGCAACACTGAAACATTTCCGAGACTTGTTTCCTTTCAGCGTCTATTCCCCAGCTTGTCTCATTACAGAGTCTATTTTCAAACACAATAAATATCAACAGTCATGGTAAGCTTAGAGTTTCAAAGTTGTCATGTTCTTCTTGCTTTCAAACAAGCAAGTGTTGTGTATCAAACAGTCTAAGTACAATAATGGTTATCTTGTGTGCAACAAATACATGCATTGGATTGTCACCTCCAGGGCAAGAATAGGACTATTGGCTCTGGTCTTCATCCACACTTTGAGAAATGTCATAACCAGCACTGCAAGATTCCTGTAGACATCCCCACATCATGCTTCTTAATATCCTGTCACCTGCAATGCGGAGCTGCCTTCCACCTTTGTAAAGAGGATGAGCATCGTCTTCTCTGCCCTAAAGAAATTGTACCCTGCCTCAACGCTGGTTATGGCTGTCCCATGACCATGACTCGTCAAAGACTTGCCCAGCACCTAGAATTGTGTCCTGCCAGTGTCATCACATGTACCCTGAGTGGAACCGATGGCCTGTGAACGAGACTGATACCATGTTCTACAGGAACGCCCTCCAGGATACAACCTGCATGAGTCAGTTGGACCTTGCTATGGCCCTTAGAGATCAGAAGCTTCTGTTTAGCTCAATTCAAATGAAGACACTCTTCCCTGAGTTGATAGAGAAGATGGACGAGCCTGAAGTTCCATTGGATGGTGCGATTGGAGGTGTTGATCCAGTCTCAGAACTTAAACCCGGAAGAGATGTTGGAGAATAGTCTTATTGGGGAAGAGGTACAAGAACTAACCCAAGAGGAAAGGTTGACCCTTGCTAAGAGTAAAGATGTGGCCTGCTTGGAGAACTACGGGATGTGGGAGAGAATGTTTGCGAAGGAGAAGGAAGGATGCAAGCAAACTGTGAAGAATTTAGAGGATAAAAGTTGTCCAACTAAGGACAAGGAAGCCCCAAGTGTGACCGCTCAGATTGGCAGGACAAGTTTAGCCCCTTGGCAAGATGGTGTTCTTGACAGACTCGGTAAAGAGGTGAACATGGCAGAGTATAATATGTATTTGGTGCTCAATGGATGCATGCTTATAAACTTTGGCCAGCTGGCTGCTTGCACACCTAAAGACAAAAACAATTTTATGGAAATTCAGAGCCTATTGAAGTTCAAACCATACACTCTTCCAATGTGCCGATCAGCAACAGACCCAAGCGTAGCCACCTCAAGGATCCATCACAAATGGTTAAGAAGACAGACCAGAATGTGGACACATCTGATTTAGGCATTGCTATAGAAGAGCTCCCAAAGGCAAATGAGGTAGAGGCACTGCTGATCTGTTTAGAAAGAGAAAGGTCATCAGATATGTGAGACTGTTGGAACCAACGGGCTCTATGTTGACTTTGGCACCCAGACCTATGACTTCCATTCTGTTCCATTCAAAAGTGATGCATCTTTGGCCGATGTTGTTGCGGCGCAGCCTCAAAACCTACGTGTGCAGATTCAGACCGAATGTGTGATTAGGAGACACAATAAATCCTGCTCAGCCTTCACTTACCTGTGCTGTCATGCCTTCAGGCATGATTAATACCCCTGGCACTTTAGGAACGTGCATGGAGACATCCAGTCATGTCTTACTGGCTGGTTTTTATAGCGGTGCCCGCTGGCTTACCTTGGTTGCACCTTTAGCCAGAAGCAATTTCGACCATCTAAATATCAGGCTACCGTAAGCTATGATACGGATCTTAGCACTTTCATCTTACAACCAAATGTGGCAGCATCACTTTACAAAGGAGTAAAAACCAATAGCAGTGAATGTAAATGGGCAAGACATTTAGATTCTCTGAGCAGACTTCCTTTTGAGATCTTACAACACAGTGAGTTTTCTGGATAGTGTGTCTTTGGGTCATCTGTCTCGGGTTTCTCAGTTAATGAGGGAGGTATGCAGCACTGTTCTGCAGCAGAAGGGCACGGTGTCCCTCAAATGGGAGAAACATACATATTCTCATGGAGGATTCACCTAGAGGGCCAGAAAAAAAGGTAAATGCTTTTCTCATATAAACCTGTATCCTGTTATTTTTTTCCTGTGGAACACAAAAGAAGACATTTTTAAGAATCTTTAAGCTGCTTTTTGCCCCATTCATATTAAGTACAACTGTTCAATTAATAAAAACACCATAAACCCAGCAAACACAAAAAGTTCCTCAAACATTAGTGTATGTTCCTCCTTTGGAAATAAATTCCTATCATTCTAGGAATGTTCTTTTTAGGTTTTATTTTATAAACTTCAACCAGTGTTCCCCGAGCATTGCCATGAGGTTTTTGTGCAACCTAATAAGAACACATACAGTACACAACATTCTCTATATGGTTATTTTGAGGTTTCTAGTTTGTTCTTGTTAGCTGGGAAGGCACCATAAAATAAGTATTCCAATTTTTGTGAAAGCCTTATTAGAGCTTGAGTAACAGCCGTATTATTATCAATACCGTTTAATATTGTATTATTCATTTAATTATTCATAATGAGACTCACATGAGTCTAAAAATCATGTGCACAGTCAGAGTTCAATCCCCCAAAAAACTTCAATGCTTTCCAGCCCATCTAATTTTATTTCAGGAGCATTAGCTGTGTCGGAGGGCACGATAAACATCCTAAGTACGTTGGTGCTCTGTTATCTGTTCTCTGAGGTATGTGGGTCAGAGAGCAACAGAGAGGACACACATGGGTCACTTTACCCTCATACCATCAGGTCATTTAGCAACACTTTCTTGAAAGTTTGCTGCTGGATGACAGGTGGTCACTCTCTCTCTTTGGCCATTGTTTGGGAAGTAACTGATCTTAGCATTTAACCAGTATCGGGTGTACCCTGTATTGAGGAAAGCCAATGAGAATAGTGCTTTGGAATTGAGATCACCATAGTGATGAATTTATAAATGCACTGGACTGGCTTTAAAGGTGCATAGATGTTTAACCCTTATAATTCCAATAAAATACAACATTACTTAAAGCAACCCCCTCTTAATTTTGTACAGTACCATATATATATATATATTTATATATTTATGCATTATTTTATTTATTTGTAAGACTTTATGACTAAATAAAAGTATTGCATTAATTTTCTATGCCAATGCTTGAAATTTCCATGTCATTTGAGATTATTATTATTATTATTATTATTATATGCAATGACATAATCAATATATTGGAGCTTTCACATCTCCATGCAGGCATGGGAGTTCAGCAGTCTGTTATCTCCAGTGGATTCATGGTCTTTGAAGATATGCCCCCATGGCAGAGCACCTGAAGGTCTGTCCTTTCTACCAGAAGGAGATCAGAAGTGAACCTGTGGCATTACCCAGCATGACAGATCTCCAGGAAAGAAGAGGAGAGTTCCAGACACTAGTCAATAGTGTCCTCACTACTGACAAGGCACATGGAAAATAAGAGACTGCTAGTAGCACACATAAAATAAAAGCATGCTGCAAGCAATGACCCCCTAAATATTTCCTAGATTAATTTATGTTTTAGTCAATGTCAACTTTGTATGCTGTTTTAAAAAGATTTTCTTTCTTGGGTAAAAGTTCCTAACTTTTGACAGATCATTGCTAACATCTAGTGGCTGAAAAATGCACTGCTATATAAGCAGGCTTCAAAAATCAACTCAAGGGGTAGTTCTCAAAATGTAACATTTTGTCATCATTTATTCACCCTCTTGTTGTTCCAAACAAGTATACATTTATTTCACCTGCGGAACACAAAATAACATATTTTGAAGAATGTTGGTAACCAAACAGTTGCCGGTAGCCATTGACTTCTACAGTAGTTTTTTTTAATTTTCTTCCCTATACTATAGAAGTCAATGGGTACTAGCAACCTAATGGTGAGTAAATGATGATGTAATTTTAATTTTGGGGTGAACAGTCACTTTAATATTATAAATTTATATTCAGTGAGATGCCAAAGACTACTATAGTGAAAATGCTTCTATTTTGCATTTAATACCAGGTTAATGAAAAAATATACTATCAGCATAACAATTTGATTGATAAGTTTAGAAAAGTCTTTATTTTGTCCTACATTTGGTTTAATGACAGCAACACTCACGTGTATAAAATCTTCAGTTGCTCTTCAGCATGATTTTAGCATCTGTACAAACTATCATATGATCAATGTCACACATTTACTTATTTAAACAGTAAGCTATATCTGAAATATTTCTCAATTTTATGTTTTTACTTTTTATATATATAAATGTTTATTTCCACCATAAAGTTCCACTCATAAAGTTCCATCCAAACGTTTATTTATCTGTTCCTCCAGAGCCATCATAATTTTAGGTTTTAAATTGTAATATATATATTTTTTCTTTCATTCTCTACATCCCCCAAAGTGACAATCACCTGAAAAATGTTTGACTTTATTCACAAAGTACAAGCAAAGTACAAAGTACAAGTTAATAAATGTATGCCTTTGTAACAATACAATGTATATACTTATTAGTATATCTTTCCATCTCTATGGCATGTCTGACATTTCTGGGTTGCGTAGTTTATCGATGACCTCTGACAGCATGCGGTTACATAGGGCAGCGTAGGGGTTCAAGATCACAGCCTGCTGCCGGGCAAACTCACTGCCTAGAGCTGCTGCTTTCTCAAAGTCCACCCGAGCCTCTTCATCACGACCCGACAACCTAAGAAGAAGCCCACGCTGGACCAGAGCCTGACAGGCTGATCGCCCAATGCCACTGCTGAGAGAAATGGCACGCTCCAGATCTTCCACTGCACCTGCAATATATATCAGTTCAGTGAGATAACCCAAAAAGCTAACTCCACACTTGCCTTGTTTAAATCCATATAATTTTACGTGTTCTGTAAGATTTGTTCGGTAGATTTATTTATTAAAACAGGCTCATTGGGACAAAAAAAAAAAAAAAAAAAAAAAAATCTCGTCTGATATCCGAAGCTAAGCAGGGTAGGGCCTGGTTAGTACTTGGATGGGAGACTGCCTGGGAATACCAGGTGCTGTAAGCTTTAGTGTTTTCTTCACTACTTATCTAATACACTGGCCTATAGAGTGGCTGATCTTTAAATAGCCCACCCTTTGGGATAGTCCCAGCTTACGGCAATACCAGCCTGTCTGCG